TTCCTAATGAATGCTTTGATTATTGTCTGCTAGTTGGCATTGGCTACTAAATCTAAAGGTTCTTGTGATTAAGTGAAACATAACTTCTTAAGGAATTCTTTAATCTTCTAGTAGATACTCCAGTTCAAAACTGGTTGGCTTAAGTTATCAAATTTAAAGGCATAAATATTAAGCAGAGCATAACTTCTATATATACAGTAAGTTATTGAGAAGTCATATTTTATAAGATATTAGTATTGATTCAATAATTTTCTTCAAAGTTTCTTTATTCGATAGTTGATAGGAAAGAAAAGTATCAAGCAAATTTGTTAAAATAAAGTATAATCCAATCTGTACATTCAAATATATAAGTGATTTTATAGCTACTTTTATAAATGATTATTATAACACCATTCAGATGATTATTATACCAATATATCTTAACAAAAAGATTACAATCTCAATGCCTATTGGATTTGCATATAAAATGACTTCTTATAAAAAATAATACATAATAGGTTATAGTATCAAATACTATCTTAATTCTATTTAATTACTTTTATATAGGATTGAACTGATATTTTGTAATTTGACTTGTAAAGCACTAATCATTGTACTATGGATCTACAGATCTAATTATTTATATATTACAAACTATATATTAAATTATACTTTAATATCTCTTATATTTTATTATATTATAAAATCTTATAAAAATTTGTTTAGAAATTTTTATTACAAAAAAATCAAAATTAATTTATTTTTATTAATTGATTTATATCTTAATTTCAATTAATTAAATTTTACAAATTATTAAAATATATTTATTATATTTATTAAAAATTAATATAAACAATTTTATAAAAGAAAATTTGTTTAATTATATATTTATTTGTTATTAAAAAAAAATAAAACAATATTTATATTATATTAATTAATAAAACAACAAAATAATAATTATATTACTATTATTCTAAATAATAATAAACAAAATATTTAAGTAATAATCAATAACTATTAAATTTAATTAATTATCAAAAAAATATATTATTATTATTATTATTATACTTTGAAATATAATTTAATTATTTTGAAAAATACTATTATACTTTAAAAAAGTAAAATTATTAGAATAGTATATTTAAGTATTAATAATATTCTAAATACCAATAATTTGATAATTAGATTTTTTAATACTTTTTTTGTTTGATGTTTCTTTTTTAAAAAAATTTTTTTCTATATATAACTCTAAGTATACAATATATTTATAACTACTGATATTATTTTTGATATGTATTGATTTTAATATTTGTTCAACAAGTTTAATGCTAGCTTGCCTATAATAAACTATTTAAGCAAAAGAAAAACAATTGATTATATAAGAGATGTTATTACTTTCTTTATTAAATTTATTTTCTGATATTTTTGTCGATCACTACTGTATAAAATTTATTTAATGATATAATCTTTCAGAATGCTCGTTATAGACAAAAAAATCCTTAAAAATCTTATCTCAGAATCTAATTATAATTATTCTTTCAATTTTGATTGGCTACTAGGGTCAAAAACCGTATCAATACATAAGTTTACGAGCAATACAAGTTTTCGACTTTACTCATAAAAAAATGAATCAATCTAATTATCCCAATTATTACCATCCACAAAATTCTGTTTCCCCTCCTCCTCTGCAACATCCGATTCCCACTCATCCGCCTATTCAAATGCATGATCCACCAACTGTTTCGCCCTCGCCGCCTGCTCATGGCATGCAATACCAACCTTCTCCAGGATTTAACCCCCCATGGGGGTTGAATGATGCAACTACACAGATGGGAATGCAGTTTGGGAGAACAGCATTTATGGCTGGAAGTGAATATATGGAAAAAAATGCATGCATTTACCTCTTATAAATTTTTATATGCTAACGATTTATGAAATACTTATGATTTTTTTTATTACCTATCTATCAGCTTAATCAATATGTCAGTTTCCCCACTCTTAAATTTTATTTCAAAGTAAACAATTCATATGTCGCAAATAAAATAAAGTTGGTTCTGTTTCCGTGGAGGCATCGTGTAAGTTATAATTTTTGTACGTGAATTCTTACACGACGCGTGTTTTAGTAATACCTATGACTTTGAATTAGCGGTGGTCGCGTCTTGTAAAAAGATCGGAAGAAAATGGACAGATGGAAGGGTATAAACCACCAAGGGATGACATCATTTGTCCAGATCTGTATATACCAGGTATATATTGGTCTTTACCAGTTAATTCTTCAGTCTTTGAATTAGAATTTATATTCCTTTAATACACAACAGCAATGGGTCTCGTAACATATGTCTTACTTACTGGAATAGTTTCTGGTACCCAGCGCAACAAGTAGGTCTTTAAATTTCTGCTTATGTCAGGGAAGATGTATGTGTTGATTAACTGTTTATATATAGATTTCATCCAGAAATTTTGGGTGTTAATGCTACATCTGCACTTCTCCTAATGGTGCTGGAACTAGCATTTATAAAGATAGGATGTTATCTAATAAATATCACGTCCGAGACTCAAATACTTGATCTATTAGCATATTCCGGATACAAGTTTATCGGGTAAGTTGATAACTATTTCTCTAGTGTATTTTTACTATGTCTGTTGTAAACAGTACAATAGCCGATCCTAATAACCAAATGCTAGGTTTTGTTTTTGTACTCATTGTTATAAACAAGCATTTAGTAAAATATTAATACTGATCTTATTTGTATTAGTATTATTGTCACAATGATTGTTTCTTTGATAGCACCCTTCTGGGTGGTGGTTGGAACATTTTTTTATGCTGCTTTTGCAAACGGGTTTTTCTTGGTAAGACTCAAATGTTTTCTTTTTTTATGTAATTGAAATTTACTTATCCATATGATCTTTTTTTCTGTAAAGTTACGATCACTTCGATATATTGTAATTCCAGATTCCACTACAACTGTCAATCCACAACCACAACGCAAGAGAAGGATTAACTTCCTTTTTCTTGTAGCGTCTTTACAAGTGATCCTTATGTATTTACTTATCAAATAATTAAGAAGTTGTCAATGTCAATGCATTATCATTTTTGTTTATAGTAAAGATCCTCTATGTAAAACTTTGACAAGTCGTTTATTTTAAAAGTGCATAACTATTATTAGTTATAATTTATCGTTTACGATTCGGTTGTAGCACATTTGAGTTTCTAGAAAGAAAAATGCTCGAATCACTACTCCAACAATTATTTTGGCCACTAATAATGCTTATATTTGAAAGATATTTAAATAAATTTAATGTTAGGACTTAATGAAAGAATAATAGAATACACTAAGGTTGAAGTAATACATTGAAGACTTTTTTAAAAACATTTTACTCGTTATAATTTAAGCTCTAAGTATACAAGATGTAGAAGTTTAATGGATTTTTTCTGATTAAGATCTTTCAATAATCTGCAAATTGCTTCAGCGAAAAAAAAAGAAATACAATAATAATAAAAATCAAGGTTTAGTTTCATCTTACTAATTTATACTATCTAATAACAATGGCATATTCTAATAATATATATAAAGTATTATTTATTTTAAACACTAATTGGGTCTTGCTTTATTAATGATTTGATATATTTTACTTTTGTGTATTATACAGAGTGTAATATATGTAAATAAAGTCATATCTAAGTTTTTGCTTACTTATTGGCTTATTACTATTAACTTACTAATAGACAGAAGCTTAAGCTAACATGTTAAGATACTAATGACTTGTGAAAAAAAAATCCTCTAAAAAAAATTTTTTTTTAATTATTATAGATTATATTTCCTATATATAAACAGTTTATTAACTATTGTTAATTAACTGATACAATTTGATAAACCAGATATATCAACTTATATCTCAAAGAATAGATTTATATACTGGTAGAAATTCAAGGGTATAAAAATTTTATCACCAGTTTTAAACTATTTAATTTTGATTTCTAAAGAAAATATGGATAGTAATATGTTAATTAAGTTTTATTTGAATTTTTTATCACTTTATATTTTTGGTTTATATAGTTACAGTACTTATGGTTTTATTAACACTTTTTAATAAATGCTTCAAAAAATCCTTTAGTTGACACAAATTATCAAATCTGAAGATCAAATAATCAAGTAGAAAATGACTTTTAAATTTTTCAATAAATATTTCATAAAAATATAAATATTAAGCAAAATGCAATTTCTGTTTAATCATAAGTTTTATCTATATATCAGTATTTATATCAATAATCATTTTATGAGTTATTTAGTTTTAGTAAATATATTGGATAACAGAAAAAAATTTTTAGTAAATGTATATTTAATTAAACTAAAAGCTTTTCTTGTATAACTTTTGATTTGATTTATTTCAACTTGTGATTATTAAGAAGATTAAAGGTCACATCTTTATACAAACTACCGTATACTACTGCATACAATACCCCAGGTATTAATCAATTTACTCCCTAAAAAATTGATTAATACCCGGAGGGTATTTTACTAGAAGGGGGGTAGTATTAGTGGCAGGGTATATCATTATTATAAAATTCAAAATAATATTGTCTTACTTATTATTATATTAATATACCCGGGTAGTAATCAATTATCAAGCAATAATTTTCTTGAATACTACCCAGTATTATTAGTAGGGGGGTAGTATTTGGAGGGGGGTATTGTATGCAGTGGTATACGGTAATTGTGTAAAATTCTTAATAATACTATTTTGATATCAAGTTAATATTAAATTTACTATAAGTTTAATATAGTAAATTACAATCCATATATTAAATTTATTATAAGTTAATATCAAGTTAGTATTATTTTGATATTTAATTTAAAATCTTATAATTGATAAGAACTGGATCTGGATATTTGAGATTATATATATAGAAAAATTGATAAATCTACTGTATATATAAACCTTATTAATATGTTTTGTTTTTTGTGAGTATTAAATTAAGAATATATATTTAAAAATCTAAATATGTTATTTATTATACTATTAACCTATAGATCAATAAAAAAAATTATTTATTTTAAGAAAAAAAAATTCTTAAAGAAAATTATAAATAAAATTTTACTAAAAATATTTCAAGTCTATTAAATAGTTTTTACTATTATTTGTAATTAAGCAAATTGTTTAATTTTTACTATTTTATTATTGTTTTAAGATTTATTTTTATTTTTATTTTTTTGAAAAAACAAATAATTATTATGCTTTATTAATTATTATATTTTCATTTATAAAACAAAATTATAATATCTATAGTATGATATATATTTCTTTTTATTAGAAGAATTTAATACAAAGTTTATATAAAATAGTTTTATTTTTATATTTTTTGATATCATTCAAAAAATACAAAAAAAAATTTTTAAAAATATATATTATTGTTTTGAATTGTATATAGCTATCTAAAAAAAAAGAAATTAATTATATAAAAGTATTACAGTCAATCTATACAGGTTAATCTTCAAATTATAATTAGAATTAATATATTCACTTTTCAAATATAACTTGATATATAATAAGTAGATAGTATTGAAAATAATAAGTAAAAATATTTTTTTGTATAAAGGTGCTATAGCTACTTTATACAGATTTGTCTTTAAGTTACAAAAAAAATTTAGTACATTCATGTTTCACATATGGCAAAAGTATTTTATAAATGGAATTCATATTGGTTTTTTTAATGATATCAAAATCTAATCTTGTACAATAGATCTATCTTGTTTAAAAAATAAATAAGAAACTTTTGTTATTGTTATTAGCTTATTTGTAAAATAACTAGATTTCCTTATTATTATATATTATTATATTAAGTTTTTTAATTATTAGTATAATATTTGCAACTAATTTAATATATTGTTAACTATATTGATATTAATTGTCATATTGCTTTGAATACTATAAAGTGCAATTTCTTAAATATTTTTAGATAATAATAATTGCACAAAAATTTCTTAAATATATTTAATCTAATTATTAATCAATAAACAATATTGAATTTAAAAATAATAATCATATTAATTTTTTAAAAAAAATAATCTATATATTCTTTTTTTAAAAAATTATATAAGAGAAAAAAATTTTGAAATTCATATTTTAAGAGGAATTATTGCTTCTTAATATAATTCTTAAGAAAAGAAAATTAATTAAGTAAAGAAATAATATTAAGGAAAATAGAATTTTTAAAGAAAAAAAAAAGTTGAAAAGAAAATTTTTTAAGAAGAAGAAAAAAAAAAAGAAAAAAAATATAAAATATAAAAAGGTATATAGAAAAAAAAGTAAAAGATAGAAAATAAGAAATAAAAGAATAGAAAAAGAAGAAAAAAAAAAAAAGTAAAAAAAAGTAAACAACTCAAAAATTTCCTAAAAAAAATTTTTCAAATATAGAAGAAGAAGTAAAAAAGAGTTTTTTTTTTAAGATTTATATTTCTATTATTATAAAATTTTATTATTTAATAATTTTATTAAAATAATTAACAATAAAAAAACCTTGTTATTAAATTAAAATAAAATCTTTTTATAATTTATTTAAGAAAAAAAATATTAATAAAGAACTCAAAAAATATTAAACTAATATTAAACTAATATTAAAATAATATCAATTTATAGTAAATTTAAGTATTAAATTAGTATTAAAGTAATATTATTAGAAGTTTTATATTAATATAATAAAATTATTATTTTATTATAATTAATTTTTTTTTATAAATAAACATAAATATGAAATCTTTATTAAACTTTTATTTATTATTATTATATTAATAATCTCTAATATATAAAATAAATAATCTATGGGTTTATAGCACAATGGTAATACTCTATAGGTCACTAGGAGAAGGTTTAGGGTTCAAACTCACCTGGTTACAAAAATTTATCATTTTCATAATTAGTTAACCAGCTTTTAATTTATATCATATCCAATTAGCTAACAATCAATTTCCAAATTTAGTTAAGCTACATGAAGATGGGATCTTTGGTTTTCCTGATAATTGTAAGTAGAAAACAGGTCAAAGCAAGGAAGATTGCACAAGAAAAAACTTCAGGTCTAATTCCAGTATAAGTCCACAAAAACTCTAACCTAAAAACTGGAGACAGCAGACTTCATCACACATGAATATTCTAGTCTAGGGCTATTCCAATCTGGCACTTGCTTAAAAGAAGATTATATCTCATTTGATATAATTGAAAGCTACAGGTAGTGATAAAGTGTGATTTACTTTCTTCGAGATTCTAGATGAAAAAATATAAACAGGATATCCGGATATTTTATAAAGATACCCCTAAAAGATAATAATTGTACCTCTTCCAAAATAGACACAATCAAGACAGAATCTAGATTAGATTAGATAGTTTAAAACTAGTGATAGGATTTCTATCTCCTAAAAATTCTATCCAGAGTGCAGATCCATCTCTGCAGTATCAATTGGTATACTGGATAAGTCTATAGGTATAGAGCGAGATTAATTTAAATGGATCTTAGTGTATATATAATTGGATATAAATTACTTAATAAAAACATATATGTACAAAGCATCTTTTACCTAAAAAAAAAAAATAGATTAATTGTAGTTTTTTCAAATAAAGATAATATATATAAACCTCTAAATCTCTAATATATAAAGTAAATAGATTAATTGCAAATAAAGATAATATATACAGTTTGTCTATAAAGTTTTTGGACAACTATTTTTTATAATAAATAAATAAATATTTAAGTATTTGCTATAAAATTTAAATAATATATTTTTTAGAATATAAAAAATAAAATAATAAGTTTTTTTAATACTTTATTAATAAATTTATCTTAAATTTTGATTTTAAAACTAAAAAAAGTTTTTTTTAAAAATTTTTTTTTTTTTGAACATAAAAGGGCATTAGATGCAAGTCTTTATTAAATTGTATATATATGATACATGAGTTACATTAAACATCTTCATATAATAACTCTATAAATTAATGTTAACCTATCTACGATGCTAACTAAAGCGATCCTTTTTACACTTAATGTAGATTGGATTAGCATTAGTGCT